TTTTATGGGAGATAATGAGAATAATGCTTGATTTTTATGCCATGTTATGGTACATGAATGGCCCAAGATGACAGGGAAGACACGTCGCCTTTTTATGTTGGCTATTTATAGTTAGGTACAGTTGAGGGGTGAACAGCGTGTACTATATGTTCCGGTGGTGGTAGTGGGTATGTGACCTGTGAATTTTTTTTGCTGACGATAAAATATATGCTTCCAGACATCGATAACGATAAAAAATCGCTTTGCAAGCATTTTCTATTGTCCGGTTTTGCTACTTCCGGTGTGGGGATTCCGGCCACGTAATCTGAATTTCGACGAAATTCAGAATATAGCTTAAATGCGCTTTTTCTGAACCTAAGATGATATTGCAAACATTTTTTGTGTCGGTAAAAAAAGTTTATTAAATAGGTGTAAAATAGGAACCAAAAGTCGAAAAATGGTTTATTTGTTCTGAAAATGTTTGTATTACTCTCAACTAAGAGTATTGCCTCTGCAAGCATTTATTATTCAGTAGTTCTACCCCATAATTTATGAGATGGATATATTTATATCTGTGGATCGATATTTATACATACATTTTTTCCATGATCTAATTAATTATTGATAACAAATAGCTAAAAAACTATTTTAATAATAATAACTGCGTGAACTGGCTACTACACTGATAAATTCCATTGCCTGCATCTATGGATCTTCAGGGTTAATAATCCTTGGATCTGTTTATTGACATATTTTGATAATGCTTGCCACTACTAAGCATTCTAGTGGTTCTCTAAACATCACCTCATTTTTGATAACAAATGTAGAATTCCATTCATATTTATATCGTATTTGGATTAAACGCACTTTATAATAATTAAAGATAAACAATTAATTATCAATAATATACATTATAATTAATGTTTCCGATTGATCATAGTTGAGAACATTTAAAACAAAAATATAATTCAGAAATAGATTGTAAATATATAACATTAATTGAAAACAAAAAAAAAAAAAACAATTTAAATACTATATTCAATGGGAAAGTTACTAGTGAGAGCTATAGGTCACTTACTGATTTTCCTGTAAACAGTTGTCTTATCTCTTGTATATTTTATTAGTTTATTATTGAGTTTATACTGTTATAATTAGTAGTTTTTCTACATCCTGGGTATTACCTAATCTATACACAGACTACAAAATGAACATGTAGGTTATTGTGTTATTAGAATTGTTAGTTAGTGTCTAAGTATTATATAAATTAAATAGTACGTCATAAATAAATTGTAAATAGTGTGTTGAATTCAATCCCCCCTTCCGTCAACGAACTTGCGCTATTTATACAAAACCAACACTGTACTAGTAGTTTCTAGACGTTCTCGAATGTCCGAAATTCCATCTATATGAATCAACGGCCCCGTATTGCTTTTTCTGGTAGTTTCTCAAAGCGATGCGTTTGTCTCTATATTTCCAGCGCCGCTAGACTTCATACTGCTAACAAGGAGTAAACAAAGCACAGGTTAGGCTTTTACGCGACATTATTATTGCTTTCCGACTAAAAAGAGTGCGATCAATTTGGTTTTGGTTCGTTCAAGAACAGTCGAACGTTCAATTTGGATATTTACCTACTCTCGTTCAGAAAATCGAGTCAAATTAATCTGGAGTGCACTCTTTTTTACCCAGTTCAGACTGGGTTCATTTGAGTATATTTGACAGAACGTTCTTTTGCAGAAGTTGTTGTTTCATAATATTTTTGTGTGTCATAAAGGTGTTTGTACATGGAATTTTATAAAGTTAAGTTTATTTCAAAATAATCTGAAATTTCTTGTCTTATTGACTTTATAGATCATTCATTATAATTTTGATTATAAATAGGGCTGTGAGTAGGTAAATATTGAAATAAAAAGAAAAAAACAGCTAAAAAAACTAAATGAGAAAAAAGTAAAACTACACGAGACACGAGTAACAACGGGAAGGGAGGAACATCGAATATTATAAACTGTCTGTAAACAAATAACTGTAAAAAACTTTAATTTTCAAATTCGTTGACGTTTACTTTCGTTGCTGTTCAGAAATTTTGGGCCGATGAGAATTAATCTAGAGTAACATGGGCAAACGATCTAAGAAAATTAGTCTACTCCCGTGTAGAATCATCTGAACGCGCTCCAGTTGTATTTATAAGGTTTTTAATGAGGGCTATTTTTCGAGTGAGATCCCGGCAATTAACTGTACCACAGTACCAATGACATAATCCATCAGTAATCTGGTTTTATGGGAGATAATGAGAATAATGCTTGATTTTTATGCCATGTTATGGTACATGAATGGCCCAAGATGACAGGGAAGACACGTCGCCTTTTTATGTTGGCTATTTATAGTTAGGTACAGTTGAGGGGTGAACAGCGTGTACTATATGTTCCGGTGGTGGTAGTGGGTATGTGACCTGTGAATTTTTTTTGCTGACGATAAAATATATGCTTCCAGACATCGATAACGATAAAAAATCGCTTTGCAAGCATTTTCTATTGTCCGGTTTTGCTACTTCCGGTGTGGGGATTCCGGCCACGTAATCTGAATTTCGACGAAATTCAGAATATAGCTTAAATGCGCTTTTTCTGAACCTAAGATGATATTGCAAACATTTTTTGTGTCGGTAAAAAAAGTTTATTAAATAGGTGTAAAATAGGAACCAAAAGTCGAAAAATGGTTTATTTGTTCTGAAAATGTTTGTATTACTCTCAACTAAGAGTATTGCCTCTGCAAGCATTTATTATTCAGTAGTTCTACCCCATAATTTATGAGATGGATATATTTATATCTGTGGATCGATATTTATACATACATTTTTTCCATGATCTAATTAATTATTGATAACAAATAGCTAAAAAACTATTTTAATAATAATAACTGCGTGAACTGGCTACTACACTGATAAATTCCATTGCCTGCATCTATGGATCTTCAGGGTTAATAATCCTTGGATCTGTTTATTGACATATTTTGATAATGCTTGCCACTACTAAGCATTCTAGTGGTTCTCTAAACATCACCTCATTTTTGATAACAAATGTAGAATTCCATTCATATTTATATCGTATTTGGATTAAACGCACTTTATAATAATTAAAGATAAACAATTAATTATCAATAATATACATTATAATTAATGTTTCCGATTGATCATAGTTGAGAACATTTAAAACAAAAATATAATTCAGAAATAGATTGTAAATATATAACATTAATTGAAAACAAAAAAAAAAAAAACAATTTAAATACTATATTCAATGGGAAAGTTACTAGTGAGAGCTATAGGTCACTTACTGATTTTCCTGTAAACAGTTGTCTTATCTCTTGTATATTTTATTAGTTTATTATTGAGTTTATACTGTTATAATTAGTAGTTTTTCTACATCCTGGGTATTACCTAATCTATACACAGACTACAAAATGAACATGTAGGTTATTGTGTTCAACTGATGGAATATATTTCATTCTACCCTAAGAACACTGCACCAGTCACAGTTCATATTTGGTCATTTCACAAGATATTCGTCTATATCTATAAAAAAATCTTAAAAATTTTAATATAACTATATAAAATCAATTTAATTAAGAGTATTAAAACTAAAAAGTTAAGTGTCTTGATAGAGCTGAGGATAACGTACTGAGTTGCCATTCGGGGTTCAAATCTAGGATTGAAGACTAAATAAATAAAATCACTTTTTGCAATTTTATAATAATAAAAATCATAAATTATTTTTAAATTAGTTATTTCATTTTAATAGCCCAAATTAATCTTAAATATTTGTAGATTTTTGTTAGTAGGTCGTAGAAAATATATACTTTTCAACTGGAGTGTATTGTCCACTCGGCCTACAGCGTTGCGCTCAAATTTCGTCTTCGTGTGATGTGGCGGCCATCATATCCACTCTCGTTGCACAAACTATACTATTACGACGCAAGGACGAAAAGTTGGTTTTTCCGAACGACTACGAGTTTTTTACCAGACGAGACATACAAGGTCAAGTCTGGGAAGTCGTAGGAGTCTGTTTTCTAGTTTCTTTTAGTTCGATTTGAACTTTGAACTATGTATTTTAAACCTAAACAAAAATTACAAAATTACAACGTAATAAAATTTATTTTTAAACCTTCGGCGTAAATTTTCCTCTTTCCCCGGCAAAGAATGTTATCCTTGCACATTTGTTATCAGTAGGTCAAAACCAAAAATTCATTTAATCGTATATTTGTAACCCCTTGCGATACGCCAATGCCGCCTGTGGATAAAGTCGATAAGAGCGTAAACCTTGAGTGGGGAGACAACGTGGTGTGATGATGTCAAACTGTCATGCACATGCGTCTATTCAAAATTGTGTGTAACGTTGCCATATCGAGGAAAATAACCATAAACCTGTACATTTTATTATGACTATTATTACAGACAACTGATCCAGAAAAGTGTATTGTATTTCCGACAAAATAAAACAGAAATACTGAATATATACTTAAGTGTTGAAATTAAAAAAGATGCGAAAAATACATTAGGGCTTAGAATAGATATAAATCGAGTTTTTCAGATCTATTGTGGATTGTGGAACTCCGTTATTTAGAGTATGTCGTCTTCCCTAGTCTTTTTATTTTGACAGGTGATTTGAAAATGGTTTCCGCATGTATTTATATGCTTTTTAAGTCTTTTGTCTATGGTGTCAGCTTTTCATTGCCTTGATGTCATTCATGGTATTCAGGCTAAAGACACTGTTTGACTGCTTAGCTCATCTGCTGCTTAGCTCATCTGTTAGGGATTCTAGGCAGTCTCTCATAAAGAGTTAGTTGTATAGAGCTTTGTTAATTTTTAGTTTCTTTTTAATGAAATGTATAAAAAAACTTTTAGGACAACTTGGTATTAGGAGATATGTTTTTCTTCATAAATGTGTTTTGTAATATTTATGTAATATGAGAATAATTATGACCATACCTCCCAGGAAATACGGCGCCCAAAATATGGCAACACCGACGACGTATATTTGTGGTATCCACTTCTTAAAATGTCAAGTCGAATTAGTTTAGTAGAAAATAATACCAAAGTAGTGATAGCATCTCGAATCTTTTTATTCAAATGCTGTTAGTTTCTTAGTGATAAAGAGTGCTGTGATTCTGTCAGAAACAAGATATATTTTAAAAATTTTTACAAACCTCAAAAACTATGCCGGAAAATACACAAATAATGCAAAATGGACACAAAAAATACACAAGAGTTTGGTGCGACGGATGGTGAGTACTCAATTTGATACAAAACGTATAAACGTACATTCTTGGTTTTCGATAAAATCTGATTATTTTGAAGCCTTTTGAGGGATGTGTCAAATTGATAATCATCAACATAACCTCAAACTTGTAATGATAATTTTATAATATCAATTCATACGTTATAATTGGCAATTAAACAGTAAATGTACAATATAAATGTATTCTTATACGTTCCATTTTCATCATTTCGATAAATAAGTGTTCTAGTGTATAATTTTTTTTATTATTTCTCACCTAAACCTAAACTTGTATTGATTTTGTTGTGCTCTATGTTCTACAGAAAATTTCATTCATAAAGCCCATAAAATTCCACCCACTATTCAGCTGTAGTTCTTGTACAGTGTAGTCCTGTTTTATTTGTTGAAGGGTTAATAATACCAGAGGCGTAGTGATAATTTTTCCATGATTATTTTTAAAAAATCCCGCCAAAATATAAACGATGTCAATTTTTCTTTTTTTTTAGATCATTTTAGATCCTCTGAAACACATTCTGAATATATTTTTACCTTGAAAACTTTCAAATGTGTCTTATCTTAAAAAACAAGGGAATTACATCATTTTGATTGATAGAAACTGCTAAATAATAAAATTGAATCTTCCATAGAGCAATAAATCACACAATTTTTTTTTAAACTTTTATAATTCATTGGTTTTTGTTCTTAAAAGTTTTTAAAACGTTTGTTACATATCTGTAGTCATTGAGCACTGTCCATAAATACAGCCTTGCCAGATTAATTAAAACATGAATCATCATCAGCTTTGTCCCAACATCTCACAAAACCGTAATATTACGGTCATCGTCATGCGCAGTAAATAAAAGCCGTTCGACTTTGGGCTTTATTGATAGGTTTTTATTTACTGTGCATGACGATGACCGTAATATTACGGTTTTGTGAGATGTTGGGACAAAGCTTATATGTTTACCTGTGTCGTGTGTTGTATGGAGCCAACAAATGCGGTATCAGAAAAATTGTTTAGAATTAACGCTCTGATGTCTCGGATATGCTGTACACATACCAACGACGTAAAAACTACTACACTAATCCATTCATTCATAATTAAGCAGAGCAGTTATTCATTGCAAGCATTTAAATTGTGATTTATATTAAGCTGACAAAGCTGTCACATTAGAAATTTCTCGAATACGGACCATTTTAGGAAAATTATGTATAGATCAAAAATTATGGGAAATAACATTACAAGCAACTTTTATTTGAATTTTCTTCTCCAAGCGTAAATAACAGATATATTCTATAAAAGAGAAAAACGACTCTGTATAAAGTGCCCCCCCCCCCCCCCGAGAGTGGGCCATGTAGGCCATACATACCCCTCCAGGGATTAACATTTTTACAATCCACAAGCCTCTTATTAAAAAAATTATGCTAATGGCTCCCTCCGCAAAGTCGTTCTGCATATGTAGACGATATACTTAACACTCTCTAAAAAAGAACTGTACTTTACAGGAAACTGACAGTAAATAATTTAAGTTAGGTTATGGTTATAAATATTGAATGTTGAAGTGTATGTGTTTAAATTGACGCTAGCGTAATTCCTAGTACTGCCATTGTAATTCCAGGTAATACCGTGGTAATACCAGTAAATCCATCATAATACTATCTAATTCCAAATAATACCCTATAAAACGTACGTGTATTGCCAAGAGTGAAAGACCCCTCAGTATATTCATTGCTAACGAAAATACTAAAAAATTAAAATTTTAGAGTTTTCTTCCAAATTTTCCATTAATGTCCATTTTAGAGAAATCAAGTATAGAACAAAAATTATAGAGAATGATATCGCAAACAACTTTTACATATATTGTCTACTTCAGTCGTAAATAACAGATATATTCCTTAAGTAAAAAAAGACACCCCATAAAGTACCCCCTCAGATGCTTCGAATTTGCCCAAAATTTATTCAGCTCACCACAGGATGGATTAAATCTTAAGTTTAAAATTTGATGTTTTTCTCATTATCCGTTTTTGCGTTTTCTTCAAAATTCGCATTTTACACTTTTCCTCAAATATCTCGAATACGGTTCATTTTAGGTAAATCATCTATAGGACAAAAATTGTAGATAATAACATCTCAAACAATTTCTATTTGAACAATTTTCTAAAAAAATCATTATTGATTCTGTATTTTACTGGGACTTTTATGGATTCTTTAAACTGAAAATATTTTTCTTCGCACATTAAATCTCGGCCACCTCTCGTATATTCGTAATTTACCTTAAATGGCCTTAATAATAAATTGCCAAAAAATATGCGTTGTCGGCCGTGACCTTATTAATGTCAATAAAATACATTTTATTAAATAAATATAATATGAGTAAATATTTAATTTAAACATTAAAAATAAACTTGACTGAAGGTTTGTTGTTTAATTGAAGATATTTATATATTTCCTTAAAGCTAAAGTAAAATACAAGTGTAGATACAAAAATAAAAAGACAAATAGATAAAAATTAAGACAAATACAGTACAGATTAAAATGTGACAATAATTTGCATACTGTTCATTGTATTTTTTGAGTATACAAACCGTGGCTGATTTTGAGAATCTTTTCGCAAAAGCGTTATCAAAATACACTGCTCAACAATATTCTAAATTTGAAATGAAAACTGCAAAGAAATGTAATCAAATGATACATTAATTTTATGATAAAACCAAAGTCATAAATAAATAATATAAAAATAAAGTAGGAGAGGAAAATAAAAAACATCAATTATTATTTTATCGAGAAATGTACATCGTTATTAAAAATAATAGCACCAGCTTACCTTTTTTAATGCTTTTACTTTATTTGGAAGACCCATCCTCTTAAACATAGACACAAAAAAAGGAAATTGAATTCCACCAGGTGCACGGGCCTCATTAGGCAAAGAAAATAAATCGGTATTTTAAAATTTTAGCAGATAAAACAGTAGTTTTCTGTCCCAATACAACGGTCCTTTTGAAGTAATACCATGCATGAGTAGGACATGAATATATATAAGAATAAGATAAATGAACAGAAAAATTGGTTTTGAGTATTTTCAAAGCAAACTTGACAAAAAATGTTTAAATTTACCAAATAAGAAGTAATTTTTTTGTGTGCTTACTTTTTATAAATAATTTGTATCTGCACACTTATTTTTATTTTACATATTAAGAAAAGAGATTGCAAGACAACTACCAGAATGTACAAATTTGAGTCCAACTTGTATTTTTAGTCTATATTTTTTTACTTATCTTATGGCCAGGTTATGGATTTTGTCACAAAATACCTATAATTTATGAGAAAAATTAATATTTTTATTAGTATTATTTACCTTAAACTTTCATATTTGTAAACGAATATATTACAAAATAACCACTGAAGCTTAAGTAACTGCATAAAATCTAAAATTGGCAAAATATCGAATTTTAAACATCTCTCATTTAATGCTTATAATTCTATATCCCACGTGACGTCACCGTCAATCAGCTGCATGCGCAGGAACATACCGTTAGTCTGTGTATCGTGATTACACCTGATTATGACAATATACCCGATTTTGAGATTTCGAGACTGCAGTTACCTTTTAATTTAGCATTAAAATATGTATTAGAAATTATTGATAAAAATATTATTAGTAATTAAGATTAGGATTAAGGATATATGAACTTTGTATAACATCACAATACAAGCTGAATCTCTTATGGAGTGACGCTTCTGTTATTATTCGTAGGTTATTCAAATAAATTTTATACAAATATGTAAAACAAAAATTGAATAAACTCTATTATTTCTATTATTATTATTATTATTATTATTATTAATTGTAATATTTGAGGTGGTTGTTGGAGCCTTAACATTTCAACTATAGACAAATAGTATTCTATAAGATTATTTTAACATTTTTAAATTATAATTTTGAAAAATCAGACGTAATTAAAAAAACTACTAGTACACCCGAATTTATTCTATTTACAACCGACTTCAAAAAAGGGGAGGTTCTCAATTCGTCATATTTTTTTTATGTATGTTCAGCGATAATTCTTTACCACCTTGTCCGATTTATATGATTATATACTTGTTGTCTAGGTTTATACATGCACATTATTAGTTAATTATTTCCTATGAACGTATAGATTAATTATTAAAGTATTAAAATTAAAAATATAAATTCAGTGTGCAATTAAAATATTTCTGCTAATGATCAAACGAAATACAATACGAATCTAATGGGACCTACAAGGTAAAATTTAATAGCACTCAAATTCAAAATAAAATAGATAAATATAACAAAGTGGGGACTACTATATAATTTTTTTTTCTAATCATTAGTCACGTATTTTCGTCGATTTCATGGCTAAATTGTAGATATGTAATTTTCCGTAATGCATTTCAGGGTTACAAAGTTCAAGTGGAAATTCTTTTGCCAAATGAAGTAAATATTGACACCGCTGTTTTTACTTTTCTGTACCCAGTAAGGAAAGTATAGTAATCATGATTTTTCCTGATCCGTTTTGACCATTTTCGCAATGATGTCTCTCTGTGTGTCTGTATCCACGATAACTTAAAAACGAATAAAGGGAAAAAATTTTAAACTTAAGCTTTAATCCATCTTGTTGTGAGCTAATTAGATATTGGGCTTAATCGGAATTTGTAGGGGATTATATTTCTAATTTAAAGTATATTTTTGTTATTTATGATTAAAGAAAATTCTTTTAATAAGAGTTGTTTGTGATGTCACTTATAATTTTTGCTCTATACATGATTTTTCAAAAGTGGACCGTAATGAATAAATTTGAAGAAAAGTGAAAAATTTGAATGTTTCAGTATTTTCGTTGGCAATGAAAAATGTTTTGAATGCTATCTTTAATTCATATTCTAAATACTTTTTGATTAGATGGACCGTACTTAATAGTTTTGATAACTTTGCAGGAATGTCATGTGTTGGTCGCATCATAGTTTTTTGTTAAATATCTTAGAGATTC